CAGCCTGGACCCGGGCCACGCTCTGCTGTCTCCCGAAGGGAAAATGGTGAGTACACCTGGCCCATTGTGGCGGCGGCGGCGGCGCTGATAAGATAAGAGGGCCCAGGGGCAGAGCAAACAGAGCTTTCCCCGGGTTTCACACCGGCCCGGCTGAACAATGGGGCATTGTGGGGGCCCGGGGTGCCGCTGTCCCCACCTCCGAGGCGGTGGGACACACGGTGTGCTCCAGCTGCATCTGCCAGAGCCGGGCTCATTGATTGCAGGCTGGGTGGATCTCTGTTTGCTTTCCCCTGCCCATGACATGGTATCGATAAAATACTCATTCATTACTTCTCCTGAAGCCCTCCCGAGTTTGGGAAGAGCTTTTCCTGCTAGCAGGGACCTTCCTGTCCCAGGGGATGGAAGCTGCTCATGCTGGCTCTGCCCCCCAGCTCCTGCCTCTCCCTCTCCCCTTTGCCATGGGGCTCTGCTGGGCAGAGCTGTCAGTGTCAGCATGGCAGGAATGGAGATGGGACATCAGCATCCCTGATGGGGATGGGGACACCAGCATCCCTGTGCTGCTGGACATGTCCCCATGCTGCTGCTGCAGGGCCCTGGCACTCGGGGTGCCCCTTGCTGGGGCAAAGCCCCTGCAGGGTGGGTGAGGGAACAGGACAAGGAGGGGTGCAGGAGGGCAAGGAGGGGGTGCAGGAGGACAAAGAGGGGTACAGAGGCTCAGGCCAGCACGGGATGGGTGTGATAGCCGAGCACAGCCCATCCCTGGAGCAGCCTGGCAGGGCTTTGCCTGCAGCTGCTGCTTTTCCAGGAGTTTTTTTTCCGGCTGAAATCGAAAGTCAAACATGGCACTGGGTGACGGGGCCAAGCCGGTTCCTGCCCGGTTTTCACTTCCATTTTCAGAGGGCTGTCCCTGCTGGGCCATGCTGTGGGTGCCCTGGTGAGGCTGGGTGCCCATGGAGGGGCTCACTGTGCCCTCCCTCACTATGGCACCGTTTCACTGTGCCATTCCCCCTGGCTGGGGAGGGTCTCTGTGCAGCCCCTCTGCTCTGGCACTCACCCTGCCGAGCCCAACGTGCCCTGCCATGCTGAGGGCACACTGCAGACAGACACCCCAGCCCCCCAGCCCACTGCCTCTGCCCCAGCACGCCCAGCTCAGCCCAGGGTGTGTTGAGCCTCATAACCCTCAGCCTGGAAGCCATAAAATGAGTCAGGGACAAAGGCAGCAGCACTGCATGCCCAGGGTGGGGGTCCCCGAGCTCCAGGCAATGCCAGCACCCCCTGCCAGCTCCTGGGACTGGGCAGAGACCCCCAGAAGGGGCTGGGCAGCACGGCAGGAGGAAAGGGAGCGGGTTAATATGGGAAAGGCACTCGGTGAAGTGCAGCAGAAGAGCTCTCCCCAAGGCACAGACACTGCCCAGCCATGGGGACCCTGGCTCTACCAGCTTATCTCTGATCTCCAGGCAGGGCTAGCTGGTGCTTGCCAGTGATTTAATAGAAACATGCTGTAGGCTGTGGTTTCTAGTAAGTAAACATGTGCCTTTACTGCCCCACATGAAACGAGGAGCTGCCAAGGAAGTTGCTGCATCTCTCAGGAAAGAGCATTACTGAAATCCCTCGTGGCTCACTCTTTCCTGCTCCGGTGTTTGCCTGGGCTGTGTCAGTGCCAGAGGGTCTGCCCTGAGGGCCCAGTGCCCGGAGGGTCTTTTCCATCATGCCCAGTGCAGGTGCAGTGCTCTGGGGCCAAACACCCCATGAGAAGAGCCAGGGCTGCAGCGTGTGCCCGCCGGGAGCTGTTTGGCTTGTGCAGCCGAGTGTGCTGTAACCCGGCCTTGGAGGCACTTGGAAAGTGGAAAATACCGGATCAGGAAACGTGAGTCACTCCCGGGCTGTGGAATTTATTGATGGATTTGTTTCAATTGCTATCTCCAGCTCACATGTGCAAAATAAACAAGGTGCTCGGCACCGGTGTCCAGAAATGTCACCTGAAGGGCTGCAGGGAAGGCTCTGTGCTGGGACTGGGATCACCCTGTGCAGGAGGGCTAACAGCAGGAATTAGGGGAAGGGGCAGCAGTTAAAGAAATGAGGCACTTACAGTCCTGGGGAGCAGCCCCAGTGCTGGCAGCACATGCCAAGTGCCTTTGTCTGATCCCTAAACTTTGGCCCGAAACCCCAGCACTGGCTCTGGCTGTGCACACCCGCCCTGTCTCACCAGTATCCTGCCAGCTTGGTGACTAAGATCATCACCACGAGGCCCTTTTAACCTTCCTCCCGTCATTTTTCTCCACTTCCCTGAGTTTATAGGTCCCACTTTCCCCTGCAAGCAGGATGGCTGAGTCTCATAAGGATGGTTAGGAGTTAATGAGTGCTGAGAGCCCTCAGCTGTCCCCGGGGCTGGAGCTTGGACTCGGGGTACAGAGCAGCCAGGGTTTGGGATGTGCTGTGTTCCAGTGCCATGCTCCAGTGCAGCTGGAGGCCAGTGCCAGCAGAGCCTTTCCCAACGCTGCTCTGCTGTACATTAACACCAAGCTGAGGTGCTGCAGTCAGGGGGGGCTGTCTGGGGTGAAACCCAGCGGGACTGCAGCTGCTTCTCTCTGGGGAGGGGGCTCTGCTGATGCCCCCAAGCCCCATGGAAGAGGGGAGGAGGGGGCTCTGCTGATGGCTCCCATGGAGATCAGGAGGGGGCTGTGCTGATGGTCCCCATGTCCCCATGGAGAGGAGGAGGGGGGGGCTCTGCTGATGGCTCCCATGGAGAGCAGGATGGGGCTGTGCTGATGCCCCCATGCCCCATGGAAGAGGGGAGGAGGGGGCTCTGCTGATGCCCCCACAGAGGGCAGGAGGGGGCTGTGCTGACTGTGCCTGTCCTGCCCCGCAGATCTCGGTGTCGGGGGGCGGGCTGCCCCCGGTGAGCACCCTGACCAACATCCACAGCCTGTCCCACCACAACGCGCAGCAGTCGCAGAACCTCATCATGACGCCGCTCTCGGGGGTCATGGCCATCGCCCAGAGTAAGTGCCCACCCAGCTCCCCTGGTGCCCTGCCCTGCCCTGGCAGGGTGGCCCTGCTGCCCTTGCTGACGCCCCGCTCTGCTCTCTCCCTGCTGCCAGGTCTGAACACCTCGCAGGCCCAGAGCGTCCCCGTCATCAACAGCGTGGCGGGCAGCCTGGCAGCCCTGCAGCCCGTGCAGTTCTCCCAGCAGCTGCACAGCCCGCACCAGCAGCCCCTGATGCAGCAGTCCCCGGGCCACATGGCACAGCAGCCCTTCATGGCCACGGTCACCCAGCTGCAGAACTCACACAGTAAGGCCTGGGGAGCTGCACGGGCCCCTGTATGGATTCACATGGGAAATCAGCTTGGGCCCTCCTCCTCCTGCCCTGCCCTTGGCTGCTGGCCCTCTCATGGCTCCAGCCCATGGATGCTCAGCAGGGCAGGCTGGTCACATCCTGCCTCATCCCTTCCTCCCTCTGGTCCAGCCACAGCCCCTCAATCCCCACGGGTTCCTGGGGGTGAGCTGCTGCCTGAGGATGCAGCGGCTTGGAGGGAAGTGCTGGGTTCTTCCCTTGCCTTGTTTGATCCCATCCCCATTCCCTGCTGCCCGTTCCCATTCCTGGACATGCCATGGCAGGGTCTGGGGTGGTTTTTCCCTGACCTGTTCCCTTGTGCCCACAGTGTACACACACAAGCAGGAGCCCCCCCAGTACTCACACACCTCGCGCTTCCCCTCGGCCATGGTGGTGACGGACACCAGCAGCATCAGCACGCTCACCAACATGTCCTCCAGCAAGCAGGTAATGCCCACAGGGCTGGCTGAGGGGGCACAGGGTGGGCTGTGAGCCTGGGGGGCAGTTTTACCCCCTCTGCATGTGGGGCTGGAGGGGGGAGTAGCACAGACCCCATCTCCTGGGGGGAGCTGAGGATGGGAACCCCACCGCAGTCCCTTCATGGGCTCTAGAACACCTGCTTGTGGTGGTGGGATGGGATTTGGGTGGTTTTGGCTCCAGAACACCTGCCTGCAGTGGTGGGAAGTGATTTGGGTAGTTTTGGTGGTACCAGGCAGGCCCTGCTCATCCCTGAGAGTGGAGCATCCTGCTGGGGCTGAGGAGGCAGAACCAAGCAGGTTCTGCTGCCCACATCCAGGGGATCAACCCTGGCTGGAGTCAAGTGGAGTCCAAGGCTGCCCAGCCTCCCCCAGCCCATAAACCTTTATCATCTGCCCACTGCAGGTGTAAGGCCGGACTTATCCTGGTTCAAATCAGGTGTGTGAGGTTTTCCTGAGACAATGGTCCCTTTCTGAGAGCCAACTCTGGGGACTGTGGGAAATATGTGGCCCTTATTGATCGCTAGATAAATAAGAGAGAGCCTTGAACTTGCATTCAGATAAACTTTTCTTCCCGAGGTTTGACAGGGGACAGGGAAAAAATGTCTGCAATGACCACAGAGTAAATACAGCGTGGGATTGCTGAGAGACCCCCCCAGCACCGCTGCGGGATGCTGGGCAGGGGCGGAGGAAGGGGCTGCAAAGGGGACACCTGGGGGGTTCGGGGCGCTTGGGGAGGGGTCAGGAACGGCTCCCCCGGGGGATCCCACTCGGGGCAGTCCCAGGGTGAGCGCTCAGGCACGGCCGCCCCCGGCTCCATTTCCTGCGTGCGGCGTTATCGGCCCATCTGCTGCGCGCTCAGCCCGAACTGCCCCTGATTAATCGAGCTCTGCTGCCTTTGATGCGGCAGCCCCGGGACACAGGAAATGTCCCTGGCAGCGAGATGGAGCCCGGCCATCCCCTGCTGCCCGGGGCCCTGCGATCAGCCTACCCTGACCACGCCGGGGCTCTGCCTCCATCACCTTCCTGCGCTTCAATTCCAGCAGGGCTCAGGAGGGATATGGGGCCAAGACCCTGCACCCACCCCTGTTACCCCCAATACACCATAAAGATCACCTGCGAGCACAAGGCAGGATGTGAGCTGTGTCCAACAGCAAACCCTCCCAGCCCCCAGGGTCTATTTCCTACCAGCCATTCTGTGCCCAAGATATAGCTGGAAAATTTTCTCTTTGGGCATGGATTTCTTTCGTGGTGGTCAGCAGTTTCATCAGCCAGAGGTGGATGGAGTGTGACAGATGCAGTGTAGGGGGGCGATAAATGCAGCTCAACACCCAAATACCTGAATGTTTTCGGTGATTTGGGTTTCTATCATTGACTGGAGTTACCAGGGGCTGTGCCCTGGCTCCTCCACACTTTGCCTCAGCATAAAGCAGGGAGCCCCCACCAGACCCCAAAACCTGTTCCGTGGTGGAGGTGGCTGCTCCAGGTCCTGCCAGGGGGATGGGGCTGGAGGGAGGTCCCTGCTCACCCCCAGCTCCCTTATCAGATGCTGCTGTTAGACCTGGAAGGGGCAAATACCTCTCTGTTCCTTTGACAACGCTCGGGGCCGAGGCACGGCGTTTATGACGTTGGCAAACACCTGATAGCCAGGGCCAGTCCCTAATGACATGTCACGGGAGCCTCCTGGCGTCTCCTTATCTGCGCCTGATGATGTTTGCTGTGCAAGGTCACCCCGCCCCTGCCGGGCCCGCCGGGACCGGGGGGACCCCCGGGATGGGCAGGGATGGGGAAGGGGCCCCTGCGGTGGGATGGATGTGGAACGGGGGGCTCTGTCCCTGGAGATGGGAGCATTGCTGGGGATGAGCCCCGGCACTGCTCCCTCCCCAGCCGAGCTCAGCCTCACGCCTGGCTGCTCCCGGGCACAAACAGGACTCCTGGCACAGCCTAGGCACAAACAGGACCTTTTTTGGTGTTATTATTTTTGGGAGGGGTGGCAATAGCTGGCTAAGAAAGTATTTTCTCACTGGCTCCCCCACTGGGGTGCCAGGGAGGGCTGGGGGCTGAGCAGGGCAGAACCAAGGTGGTCACAGAGCAGGGCAGGAGGTGAAGCAGGGATGCAGGACAGGAGGCAAGACAGGAAGAAAGAAGGGAAGCAAGAAGGGAAGCAAGGAAACAAGAAGGGAACAAGAAGGGAAGCAAGGAAGAAAGAAGGGAAGCAGGAGGTGAAGCAGGGATGCAGGAGGTGATGCAGGAGGTGATGCAGGGATGCAGGAGGTGATGCAGGAGTGATGCAGGAGGCGATGCCTCCGAATGCTTTGTGTTGCTGCCTCCTCCTGCCGGCGCCGCTCACTGTGCCGCTCTCTCTCCCTGCGCAGTGTCCCCTGCAAGCCTGGTGATGCTCCACACCTCGCTGCTTTTGCACACAGCAACGGGATCTCCTTTTCCTCACCA